TCCAAAACCCTTTTTTTTTGTTTACCACAATTATAGGGCACTCAGGATAGTGCATGCACCTTTCACGTGAAAAACAAATGTCTAAAGAGGAAGACATAACTTTTTTTAATAGAAACTAGAATTGAAGCCATCAACAACCTAGCAACCCTCTTTTTTTGAAAGTATGCTCAAATAGTATGTGGCTTTCAAAATTCCATGGCAGGAGAAAAAGACCAAACTTTAAGCCTAAACCATTTTCATTGGATATCAATAGACACAAGCAAAACTTAGGAAACTTCGGGCTTTCATACAGCAAACGCAAAAACAATAAACGCAAGAAAAAGATGGAGTTTTATGCTCCTAGATACAAACCCTTCACAAGAAAAAAAAAGACACAGAATGAAGCCTTAAGCTTCTATAACCAACTCATGCATAGATAATATGAAAAATAAGCAAATGAAAAAATGAAATAAGCTTGAAGACCCCCTTGTTTTACGTTGCTTTCTTCCCTTGTTTTTAAAGATTTGCTTGTTTGTTTTTCTTTTACTAAAACCCTTTTAATGTTCCCCTTTTTCTAGGCTTCAAAAGGTATCATCTTTGTGAAGAAAGGATTTCTTTTTATGAATCATGATTGTAGCATTAAACTTTCAAGAATGATCAAGATTTGAACTAGCCTAAAACTACATCAAAGGTTGGGTTTTTTATGTTTTTAAAACTTTTTAACAACTTTAAGACCTTATTCTGCCTCATTTCTTTGAAAGCTCTCTTTTTTTTTTAAAAAAAAAAAGATATTTTCATCCTAAACCATCAACCATGACTCAATTTTAAAGATTGAAGCTGTAAGATTTTCAAGCTCGAAGTCAATTACAGCCAGAAGCTCTTCCACCCCATCATGGACCCGCTTTCCATTAGCATGAGCACTATCCTTAATTTGTTTATAGTCTTCCTTTAACATCAAATTTAACCAAAAGGCAACTTTAGAATAATCCTTTCCTGTAATAAAAGAAGGGACTAAGTCATCTGTTGCCTGACCTTTAAGTTGACTTCTCTTTGGCTCCATCCTATAACTCGCTAAACTATAACCCTAAAACCAGAAAAAGACATGATAAAAAAAAAACAAAGGAAAAAGAAACATATCAAGAAAACATGAAGAAAGGAAAATTAATTGAAGGAAGCTAAAAAATTTTAAGTCGACTAAATCATGTCAATTTAAGAATAAAAAGGCTGTAAAGAAAAAATGAAGGCCCCAGAGGACCTTTTATGTAACAAACACAGAGATCAAATGCATGCTTTGGATCATGCCATGTGTCCCAAATAGTTATTAAGGAAGACCCTTTGCATTCCAACTCTAAGTTTTTAATCGTCTAATTTCCTTTCTTATTGAATGCAACTTTATGATAACAAAGAGGTAAATCAGTCATTCCACTTACTTAGACCAGTCAAATTGATCAAAAACTCAGGTTAGACCCATCAAACACCACGTCAACCCTATGTTAAACCAAAAAATCAAATTCCAACACCAAGAAAAAACATAAATCTCACATCAATCAACACTACATTAGACACATAAATCAGGTCAACAATTACTCATAAAATTACTTGGCCCAACTTTTGCCCACCTCGACATTGGGTCATTCACCTTGGTAACCCCAAGATGGACCAATTTAGTATATAATTCAAAAACCACCCAAAAGGCTAAGCTCGACATTATCGAGCACAATCAAGTTTGCACATACCAAATCGACCAAGTTTATACTCAATAGTTTGATATTCAGACTACTTGGTAGGGGGATAGAATGTTAGAGGCATTTTTGGGTCTAAAAGGCAAAACGATCTTTTCCCTTGTTAGAGATTGTCAATGGATAGCTAAACAGTGCTACGTCAGCTCGGTCATGTCACCAATTTACCTTACAGATCCCTTACTTTTCATCTATAAATAAGGCCATCTAGTAACTATCTAATCATCTAGCTTTCTTCTACTTTCTCTTTATTTTACTCTTTTTCTTACCTTTTATAGCTGACTTTTGACTTGAGTGTCAGAGTGTAAACGTAGGGAACACTTCCTGCCTTTGCCTTTAATTGTTCTCTTTCTTTCTCTTATAATTTCAAGGTTTTATCCCTAAGTTCGGAGCTCAACACAAACAATATAGTTGAGCGATCAAGTAGAATTTATATTTTTAAGATTTAAGAGGTCATTTTAGATTAAAGTCATAATCAACTTTAGATAAGTAACTTTTTCTAAAACCAACTTATTAATATAAATCATTTAGAATTTAAAAGGTCATTTAGGATTAAAGTCATAATCAATTTTGATAAGTAACTTTTTGTGAGATCAACTTAATTTAGATCTAGTTGACTTTTAGGAAGGTCACGATGATGCAAGGCTTTTAGGATCTTTAAAATTGGTTTTATATTGGTACATGTACTTTTTGATAAAAATTATGTTCAATATTTGTTTAAATTATATTATTTTTAATTATTTTTATTAATTATAAGTTAATTTCAGTGTGCATTATAAACCTTAAAATGAAATAATAAACATCTTCATTATTTTTTACTAGTGGAAAGGATTTTTTAAGGAGCAAATCAATTTTTTTCACATTCTATTTCTTATATGCAAACAAATAGTAATCAAATTTGTGTTAAGAAAAATTAATTAAGTTAATATTATTCATAACATATAGAAGTATAATCGAGTCGAATCGATATAGTAAAAAATTTGAGTTTGAGCTCGATTAGAAATTTACTACTTGAAACTTGGTTCGGACTTAATTAAGTTTTAGATTTTAAGTTTAAACTCAACTTAAAATAAATATCGAATTACTCAAATTTATTTGATTAAACTCATTTACTGAATAAAAAATGAATTCGATTCCCAAGTTTGAGTTCAAACTTGAATTGTTATATATAAAAGGAAAATAATAAATTTTTAATCAAAACAATAAAAAAAAATATATTAAAATATATCTAAATTCAATTAAGTTCGTAAACTATTTGAGTTAAGCCTTAAAATAGTTAAATTTGACTTGTTCGATAATTCGAATTGTTCAAGTTTCACTTGACAATGATTAACTTGACAATGATTAAACTGAATTCAAATTTTATTCAAGTCAAGTAGCTTAAAAACACTGATAAATCATTTACACCTAATAATATACTCTACTTTCAGTTCAAACAAACATGAAAATCAAATCAAAGTGAAAAAGGGAGGGGAACCAATTTGCTGTTGAAGCATAGGCTTGTAGGGCCATTGCCAAAACTAGTTAGAAGAAAGAAAGTAATGGAACCAAAAGTGATTTCCGCATAGCACTGAAAAAAATATCAAATTGTAGGGAGAGACATTGAGTTACTATTCATGCACTTTGTTAAATGCCACAGTTGTAAAAGTTGGATCTTTTGAATAAGATGGTCGGCAGCAAGAATAATCTCCACAAACGGCGAAAGGAGATCTTTCTAAAATGAAAATTTTCTCTCTTTTTTTTATAGGTAATTTTCTTTTGTTAAAACATTGTGTAGCTCAAAATCTTCATTCACTAAAATAAATGAAAAAAAAAAAAAAACCACTAGATAATTTTTACTTTTTTTAATTGATTCAACTGTTCAATTGATTTTTTTCAAAATCCACGTATAACCCGTGAGATATTGTCACAAAATGCCCCTCTTATTTTGGTAGCTACTTTTTTTGAATCATTATTACGGTGGATCCAATACAAGTGATCAGTACTCACATGTGACTTAAATGAATGTAGCCTGAACCAAAACCTTTCATATCCAAGCTGTTCTCATTAAATCAACTAAATCATGTTGCCAAAATAAGGGAAAAATAAATGAAGAGAGAGGTCAAGCTATGATTTGCACAAAAATAAAATAGGATAGTTATATATGAACTATTTTATAAGGTCATGCTAAAATTGCCAACCCATTTGATTGTTATAGGTTGTTTAAGCAGCAAATGGGTTGTTGCACCTTTTTTTTTTTTTTTTGTTTACATAAAAGTTTACTCTTCTCAAGGCAACAAATACAAATGTGGCTCTAAACCATGCTGCCATGTCTAAATCCCCTCATCCTCAACAAAATGTTCCTCTTGGTTTCTTTTCGAGAAAATAAGTCATACTCACAAAAACTACAAAATTCTAATGGGGATTTCGTGCACTGTAATCTATGACAAAATAAATTAAGATAAAATGCAGAGAAACACATTAATAGCTCTTGAAAAATATTAACAGCACCACTTTGCAATTGTAGCAAAGTAGTAACTAGGGCTTAATTGCCTCCACCCAACTTCCACCCACCCTAATATTTCTGCTGTATATACCTACATGCATTAATATCACATCGCTCTTATCCACCAATGTCACCAACATTTAGAACAACTCAGAGTTAGTTGATTCATGTAATTAATATGTAATTATTTTTAAAAAGTATCATCTAACAATTTTGAGATTTAAACCTTAATCTAACAATTTTGATATTCAAATCTTATTAATTGTAATCTTTTTCTTTATCTTCACATGATATCTTTTATAAAAAAATCACCAACTTTCAAATCTCAGCTATTTGCAGGACTTTCTACATACAAAAAACTCATGTTTTTAAGGTGATTTATATAACATAACACCCCACCTCCCTCTCTCTCTCTCTCTCTCTCTCTCTCTCTCTCTCTGGTCCTCCCTCCCCAGATGCCCCCACTATTCAAAGAATTGGACCACCCGAATCAAAGCATGATCTACTGGAAATTGGCAAGATACTATATGCCAACCCGGATTTTGTTTTCCCCGGTGCCACATAGCTAAGTGCTAAAAATGTACTGATTTGCAAAAGACTTCGTAATGTGGTAGGCACAAAAAGCCAAACTACAAAGTTAATTCTAGCAATTCACTTTCACTTGACTTAAGATACTGTGCAAGATCAAGTGTGAAGCATGATTGAAACAGCAGAAACATTAGTACAATTAAAAAAGGAATAAGATAAACAAAAACTGTCCAAAAAAAAAATTGATATTAAAAAATAAGATTCTCGTACATTTTTTCCAAGTTGCATTCTGCATCACACCCCACTAATAAATTAAACATATGAATAAAAGGGTAAACAATAGTAAAATAATAGACATCTTGAGTCTTTGTCATGACTAACACTTCTACCCCACTGAGCACTAACATTAATTTATATCCTAAAGAAAATAAAAATAACCTTGTCATAAGACTCAGTAGCTTCATAAACAAGGGCAATATTTCCTTAATTATCCATATCTCTTTCCAGGCAAAGCTACTTACTTGAAAAAACAAAAATTATAGACAAATTCCACTGGAGATAGACAAAAAACTAACCTGGAAATAGCAATCTCTCTATGAAATTTATAAACAAACAAATGAAGAAAACAGATGTTCTTTTCCTCCCATTTCACACTCTCAACAGAATCAAGATATTTTTTACTCCTAAATTGAAACAAACCACAATTATGAAATATAGATAAAATAAAACTTTAAATTAGAGATGACATCCAAAGCAATTACAGGTCTTGGGAGTGAAAGAACAGAAACCAAAAGGTCTGTTTGGAATGTTGCAATTGATTGCATAGCAACAAGGAGATGGCAAGCAAACCCCTCTAGATCCACCACAGCATGTACAAACAGCACATATCTGGAAACTCCTTAACCTTATTCTGCTTTCATTAAACATCATCATGTTCTCTATCTTTTCTTCCACCAATGGAACCATTTCTGAAGACCCATTTACCTTCAAATCAAGAAACCAACTTCAAATCCATAATAATAAATAAAAAGTTCAAATCTTGGACATGATAAGCAAAGGGATCCATGCATTCAAAGCAAGGTTTTTCACTTACTTGGGCCATGCTTGTAGCTTCATTGTAATTGAAGACATAAGCTGAAAAGAGCAGAAAGAGGAGAAAAAGAGTGACCCTATAGGCAGATTTCATGTTTCTGGAAGTGCGTTTTTGTTTTTGTGATTTGCTAAATAGGTTGTAAAAGAAAAGAAAAAGCGAAATATGATGTATAAGAATGTGAAATGGGTATTGATACTTTTCTTGGGTTGGTTTTGTAAAGAACAACTCGGAGCATTTGGTTTGTTTGATTTGGTGTAAATCATAAATGAAAAAAGAATTGTCCTTTTGAACACCTATTTCTTGGTGGTGCTAAATTGAGTACATCTTAAATGGGATTTAGCTAGTAGAGAATAGAAAAACAAGGAAAAAAAATTTTTTGGTGGAATTATTTGAAGAGAGAGAGAGAGAGAGAGAGAGAGAGAAAGAGTTTGGGTTTTGAGTACAAATTTATTTTTGCACCTCGGAGAGTGCGAGTCAGTAGTAAGGAGGAAGCATATGCTGATGACGCTGCCGCTGCCTTTCATTTTAAGCAAGATACGATTATACACGAAATGAAAATAATTTGAGAAATATGTTTTTGTGTTTAGTTGTGCATGTTACGTAGTTGTTTGAGACGTTTAATATGTTTAAAATATAAAAATATATATTTAATTAGATTATTTCATAAGAATATATGTTTATTACGTATAAGATATGTAAAATGCATTTAATTGTATATAAACAATATTAATATATATAAAATATAAGTATATGCTTAACAAGTGTAAGACACACATTTAACACGTTTTTTTATTTATTTTTATTTAATATAAATATTATAAAAATTATTTTAAACATTACATTATAATATCTAATTACTTATTTAATATGATCATATAAAGTTATTTTAAGTATTTAATTATGATAGTTATTTAATATGCAATTTTTTTTCATGAAACATGTTTTATTGGTAATAAAGGTAAAATTAAGATCCTTATTTCATTCTTTTATGATGTGCTTGCTTCCTTAATTTTTGTTTAAATGCTTCTTATTAGTTTTTTTTTTTTTTTTTCAGAAACTTCACATTAGTAATTAAATAATAACATAATGTATAAATCATTATAATAAGATATAGATATCAATGATTTATCTTACATATTTTATTTTAAATCACATAATAAAAAATATATTGGATATTAAAATTAATATATTAATTCTAAATAACATATATAATGATAAGAGATTATATAAGTTATTTTATATCACATGATAAGATATTATAATACATTTAAAATTAAAAATAATATATTTTATTTTAAATAACATGTATAATTATAAGAGATTTTAGTTTATCCTAAATCATATGCATACTTAAGAGAATTAAAATCTATATAATTTACTTTAAATCATATTATAACTTATAAAAAACTGTTATAAGCAACATAACATATATTATTCTTTTAGGTACTATTATGTAATATATTTAAAAGATTTTTTTAATTTTATATTAATCAATATAATTCTAGATTAAAAGAATCCCTTAAGGATATTAGCCTTGACACCTGTCTATTACTTTTGTTTCTTTTGGCTGGCCAACCAATTTCGAAGGTTCCTTTGCTTTTCTAGAATTGGGATTTTACTCTAAGATAATTTGCAACATTAAAGACCATTCAAAAAAGTCAAAATTTGGCACAAAACATAAAGATAATCGTGTTAATCGATTGTCGGGCTCTATGTTGTTCTGAGGTTTTTATTCTTAGGTTCTTATTGATGTGTTTTTTTTTTTTTCACTTTTAGTTTTTTGTTTTTTTTTTGTCTCTTTGTTTTTGGGTAAAATATTTTTCTTATAGTTGTTAAATTGAATTTAGGTTTCATTTTTTTTTATTTTCTTCGAATGGTTTTAGGCTCATAGAATTGAATGATTGAATGAGATTTGGATTTCTTTTTTTGATTCTTTTTAAATTGGTTAAAAGGTTTTTTCTTTTCTGGTTGTTAATTTGAATTTGGATTCAGTTTTTATGTTTCTTACGAAACAACATTTTTTTCAATGTTTTGTTTTGTTTTGTTCTATATTTAATTTGTTTGAATTATTTGTTCTAAGGTTTGTATGTTGTTTTATTTTAATTTGAAATGACTTAAAGATAATGTTGTTTGAGATTTGTTTGATAAATAATGGTTGGAATGAGATTTTTTTCCCAAATTACTTTAAAGTAGTGTTGTTTTAGATTGGTTTGTATAGATAACGGTTGGAATTGGATTTTTTCCCAAATTGCTTGCTAACTTTTTTAAAAACTATCCTTTTTTATGTTTCTAATGATAAATGATAGTTTGAATGGGAATTCTTTGCTTGCATGTTGTTTCAAAAGAGTTTGTCATAACATATAAATTTGTTAACCTATCACTAAATATAACTTTAAAAGTTGCTACCAATTTTTTTTTTTTTATCTTGGTGTGATTTTTCACCTGAAGAATCTACCCTTTTATAGATATCCTAAACTTGACTAAAACTCCTAAAAGAATTGGTTTTTGGTCAGTATTTTAGAACTAAGTTTGAGAGTTCTGTTATGTACGAAGAATATTATAACACCCCCACAACACTCATCCTAAAATGGCTCCCATCAATTTTTACTTATCCTAAAGTCTTGACTAGATGGTCTTTTGATTTTTGTCTTTTCCTTAATTTAAACATGTACATATTGGATAGAATTTTAGGTTTTTCTCACCATTTTATCAAATTTCTAAAAATTTTTCTCTACCCAAAAGTATTCAAATAACCTATTTGTTCATTTGAAAAGGATTTATTGTTGAATTTATTTTTATTTAATCATTTATTTAATTTTTTATTCTAATTTTTATTTTGGCTGCTTTATTTGATTAGAAATATGTCTAAAATTTTCACAATTCTAGAAATATTTAGAAATACTTTTAAACCTAGTGGTTTGTAAGAAAATCAACCATTCTTAATTTTTTATAGTTTTATTGGGTTTAGTCTATTATTTTTAAAATTTATCATTCCTATTTTTTATTATTTACTACACCTGAAAATAAATGTGAATTATCATTATTGACATTTCATCTAATTCTGCCACCATTCTGGTAAAATTTAGAAATAAATTTATTATTTAAAAAATTCAAGAAAATCAACCATTATTGATTTCATAGAATTTTATCATCAAAATAATTTCTAATTATTTTTAAGAATTGCATTCTTATTTCTTTTATTCTTGATTTTGTAGATTTTTTTTATAAAATTTTCATCTTAAACTTTCCACCATTCTAGAGAGTTTAAAAAAAAATTTTCACTTAAAATTTTTAAGAAATCAATCATTTTTTATTTCTTAAAATTCTCATTGGAATAATTGCAAAATTGAAAATATTTTTATTCAAATTATTATTTTTTATTTATTAAGTAATGTTTTAAATCATGAAGTTATATCCTTAATCTGACAATATAAGTATAAATCTAACAATATAAATATACATAAAACAAGTAAATATGGATAAATAAATAAATGCTATAATTAAAAAAAAGATAAAAAGGAAAATATAATACCAAAATTTTGGGCTAAGACCTAGGTTAAAAATTAGTTTGGGCTAACTTCTTGAATTAGGCCTATAATTGCTTCTCAAATGGGCTTAAACTCACAATGCTTCAGTCTAGTTTTGGAACATCCATTTGGGTCTGTAAACACCTTATTTAATCTGGAACCCAACTCAATTGGGCTCGGACTCGCTTCAAATCTAATTATTGAATTTCCTTTATTTTTTATTTCCTCTTTATTTAATTATTTAATATTTATTACATTTATCTATATATTTATCTCATTTACTCTATTTATCTATTTATTCTTTGCCTTATCTACTTTTTATTTAGTTATTTTATTTATTTGTTTTTATCTTATTTGTTGATTATTTTTAGCTTTAATCTTTTCTTTAAATTACCTGATTAGTTTAGTTTTTTAAGGGAAAACTTTAAAAAAGAAAGAATTAAATGGCCAAACTTCAATTAGGAGTGCCCAATGACAAGGTTGGAGTTGAATTCAAAATTTTCAAGATAAGTGATGGTCTCTTTTTATAATACTGAAATTTTGAATCCTAAACAATCAGGAATTCTATTAATTATGGCTTATAAATAGATGACAAATCATCACAGCAAGAAAACAGAAAGAAAAACAATTGTAAAGCACACAACAGTCAAATGAGAAACATACAGAAAGTGAGTGAAGAAAAACACAAAAATCACACTGAGAAAACATGAAATCGATAGAGGGCTAATCGAGTAAAAAATCATAAAAGTAGCTTTGAATGGTAATTGGTAGCAAATGAATGAGGATTTCGAATCTGGCTAAAATTTTGTTCTAGAGGAAGTTTTTAGAAAGATTTGAATGTGTTTCGATCTAATCTGAGGAGAGAGGAGTAAAGAAATAGCTTTAGAGGATCATATTTATGAAAAAGGATTTTTTTTGTATTTTTTTTGGAAAATCTAAAAATTTTCCAGATTCTAGCGAATTTTATAGTGAAATTCATATTTTCCAACAAGATTTTGGCTAAGTTTCTAGAACTCGATGAACATTTACAGAAATCAACCATTAGTTTTTCCTTCTAGAGAAAGAAACAATAGAAAAAATAAAGAAGAGACAGAGAGCTGAAGCAAATCTAAGAAAAACAATTTTGGCCTTATATGCCTAGAATAAAACAATGTTGTTTTGAGTTTTAACTCCCTTCACCAAAATTCAACCTAACCTGTTACACGACTTGACCTCGCAACCCAATTCCTATTAGCCATTATTGAGCCAAGCCGAGCCGATATTCAAGCCGCTCTAGCCACATTCTATTCCTATAGTCAAGCCACGATCCAAGCTAAGCCAAACTAACTTTTTTTTTAGTATTATTTATTTATTTATTTTATTATTTATTTATTTTTCAAATATTTTTGCAAGATTAAAATTTTAGGAAAAGTTAGAGTTATTCTAAATTATAAAAAATATATTTAAAATAAAACTTTAATAAAATTTTTTGGAAATAAATTATAATTATCCAAAGATAAAATTCATAGAAATTACAAATGGATACTTTTTAATAAATTTTTAGGTGAGAGATTTTTCATTTAACCTAAATAGAGAAAAAATTTAGATAAAATTTCAATAACAATGATTAATATTTATTTTCAAAAGTAAAAAAATATTTAAAATATTTATAAAATTTTAGAAATGAGTTAACAATTATTTGATAATGAGATTTTTAGAAATTTCAAATGGTAAATTTTCTAACAATCTAGATGATGAGTTTTTCTAAATTTGACCAAAATGGTAGAAATTTTAGATATAATAAAAATTAAACTTACAAAATAAAGAACAAATTCCAAGGATGAAATTCTTCGTAATAGCAAATATATGATTATTTAAGA